GCCCATGGACCACATTGCTCACCTAAGCACTGTAGCTTGGAAATAAAGTGCCCAGCCACAGCATGATACGCCCGTCAAATATTGTTCAATAATCATAAATTGGTTAGGATGCAAGAAAATCAGGTAGCCATGATTAACAGATTGACAGAGATTTCAATTATCTATTTTCCATTTCTTATTATACATCTCTAAGAGACTTACAGTGTAGGGATTGATTATAACAAATAATACTAGTGAGACATGACTGCATTTGTAACAAATATATAAAAATTAAAATATAATTTTTTTTTCAATTAACACATGTATAATTAGTTTTAATCATATTGTACAATACTAATTTAGTTTTAATCATGCATACACTAAAACATCAATTTGTTTTAATTAATTACACCAATTGAAAGATCTTTATCTGGACTAGCCATCAAGAACTCTTAATTAACACAACGACTATGAGGCCATTTCTTTTTGCCCAACTCCCAAGAGATAAATTAAGATAACTGCTGCACCAAATCTAGAGGTGCTCTTAGCTCCTGACAATAAACTCATTAATTTCTCTCTAATTTGACATGCAAATTTCTGCTATCAAAATTCTTCTTGACCAGTGCTTGATAATTAAGCCCATGGGACAAACTGAATTCCTCTCAAAGCATAAACATTCGTTACAGATTGCTGTAAAGTATATAATGAAGAAATAAGTTTTTACTTAATTTAATGTCCTTTTAATAAGGATACAACTATATTTTTACATTTTTTAGGATTATGAAATTTAGAATTTAAAAGACTTAGTTTTTTAAAAACATCATTTTAATTAAAGATCACAGTGACCTTGAAATAGGCCGCGACACACCTTCTACTTTAGATGTATACTTCTGCTAAGTTTGAAAGCTCTAGTTCTAATAGTTTTCTAGTTATGAGCCGGACAGGATTTTTCCATATTTTGCTATAGCAACTTTGTTGCAAATATATAAAAATTGAAATATAATTTTTTTTTTTAAATGATCACATATATAATTAGTTTTAATCATATTATACAATACTAATTTAGTTTTAATCATACACTAAAACATCAATTTGTTTTAATTTCATTACACCTATTGAAAGATCTTTATCTGGACTAGCCATCAAGAACTCTTAATTAGCACAAGCAACTATGAGGCCATTTCTTTTTGCCCAACCCCCAAGAGATAAATTTAGATAACATCTGCATCAGATCTAGAGGTGCTCTTAGCTCCTGACAATAAACTCATTAATTTCTCTCTAATTTGACATGCAAATTTCAGCTATCAAAATTCTTCTTGACCAGTGCTTGATAATTAAGCCCATGGGACAAACTGAATTCCTCTCAAAGCATAAACATTTGTTACAGATTGCTGTAAAGTATATAATGAAAAAACAAGTTTTTACTTAATTTAACGTTTTTTAATAAGCATACAACTATATTTTTACATTTTTTAGGATTATGAAATTTAGAATTTAAAAGACTTAGTTTTTAAAAAAAAATCACTATAATTAAAGGTCACAGTGACCTTGAAATAGGCCGCGACACACCTTCTACTTTAGATGTATACTTTTGCCAAGTTTGAAAGCTCTAGGTCTAATAGTTTTCTAGTTATGAGCCGGACAGGATTTTTCCATATTTGGCTATAGCATCTTTATTAAAGGTCAGAGCGACCTACTTTTTGTGCGTGACACACCTTCTACCCAAGAAGTATGAGTTGACAAAGTTTGATAATCCTAGGCCTAATAGTATTCAAGTTATGAGCCGGACAGGAATGGACAGACGGACAGACGGACAGACGGACACGAAGCCTATAACATAATACGTCCCGTCTTAAGACGGGCGTATAAAAAGCAGAAAACAGTTTATTATTGAAAAGTTTAAACCCAAAGTGGTTCCAACCAATCTTTAAAGGGGAGAGGGTATGATTTGAACAAACTTGAATCTACACTAAATAAGGATGCTTGCATATTTCTTTAACTACCTGTGGCTTTATTGCCCTATACATTTGAACTTACAGGCCCCGCCCTACCCTGAGGGGTCATGATTTGAACAAACTTGAATCTACAATACATGAAAATGCTTTCATATGAATATGACTGATCATGGCTTTGCCATTCTTGAAAAGAAGATTTTTAAAGAATTTTTCAACAATATTTCTAGGTAAAACTTGGATTCCATGTTGTGGCCCTGCCCTACACCAAGGAGTCATGATTTGAACATACTTGAATCTATACTACCTTTGAATCATTCCCTATAAATTTCATCTTTACTGGCACAGTGGTTCTTGAGAGGAAGATTTGAAAGAATTTTTATGCGCCCGGATCGAAAGATCCGAGGCGTATATTGTTTATGTCCTGTCTGTTTATCTGCAAACTTTTACCTTCGCCATAACTTTTGAACCATGAATGAAAGAGACTTCATATATTTGCATACTCCACTAATAAAGCTCTTTCAAATGACAGCGAGGTCAATGACCTTGTGTCCTTGACTGTGACCTATATCCTAAAAATAGTTTTTTTCTGCAAACTTTAACCTTTGCCGTAACTTTTTAACCATAAAAGAGAGAGACTTCATATTTGGTATGCTTACATCAATTATTAAGCTCTTTTAAATGACACCAAAGTCAATGACCTAGTGACCTTGACTGTGACCTATACACTAAATATAGCTTTTTGTCGACAAACTTTAACCTTAGCCATAACTTTTGAATGAAAAAAGCTGGAGACTTAATATTTGGCATGCATACTCCACTTATAAAGCTCTTCCAAATGACACCAAGGTCAATGACCTTGTGACCCTGACTGTGTCCTATATGCTAAAGATAGCCTTTTTGAACCTTCTCCTTAACTTTTGAACCATGAATGATAGAGAATTCATATTTGGTATGCATACTTCACTAATCAAGTTCTTTCAAATGACACCAAGATCAATGACCTTGTGACCTTGACTGTGACCTATATGCTAAAAATATGTTTTTTAAACTTTGTTGCCGCTGGGCGCATGGTGTTTCACAAATACATCTTGTCCTATATATTTCTATGTAAAACATTGATCTGCCATTGTGGCCCCGCCCTTACCCCTGGGGTCATGATTTGAACAAACCTGAATCTATGCTACATTTTGCACCTGAGGATGCTTCCATATGAATGCCTTTGCTATTCTTGAGAAGAAGTTTTTAAAGAAATTCCCTATACATTTCTATGTAAAACTTTGATAGGCCATTGCCCTACCACCGGGGGTCTGATTTATACAAATTTGAATCTACACTACCTGAGGATGCTTCCATATTAGTTTCATCTTTCCTGGCACAGTGGTTCTTGAGAAGATTTTTAAAAAAATTTTCCTATATATTTTTATGTAAAACTTTGATAGCCCATTGTGGCCCCCCTACCCCCAGGGGTCATGATGTGAACAAACTTGAATCTACACTACCTGAGGATGCTTCCATATAAATATGATCATTCATGCCTTTGCTATTCTTGAGAAGAAGATTTTTAAAGAATTTCCCTATACATTTCTATGTAAAACTTTGATCGGCCATAGTGGCCCCGCCCTAACCCCGGGGGTCATGATTTCAACAGACTTGAATCTACAAAACCTGAGGATACTTCCATATAAGTTTCATCTTTCCTGGCACAGTGTTTCTTGAGAAGAAGATTTTTAAAAAATTTTCCTATATATTTCTATGTTAAACTTTGATCGGCCATTGTGGCCCCGCCCTACCCCCAGGGTCATGATTTGAACAAACTTGAATCTTCACTACCTGAGGATCCTTCCATATAAATATGATCATTCATGCCTTTGCTATTCTTGAGAAGATTTTTAAAGAATTTCCCTATAAATAATTTCTATGTAAAACTTTGATCGGCCATTGTGGCCCCGCCCTTAACCCAGGGGTCATGATTTGAACAAACTTGAATCTACACTGCCTGAGGATGCTTCCCTATAAGTTTCAAGTTTCCTGGCACAGTGGTTCATGAGAAGAATATTTTCAAAACATACCACCAAATTTTCACTATTTCTGAATTATCTCCCCTTGAATAAGGGTGTGGCCCTTTATTTGAACAAACTTGAATCCCCTTCACTTAAGAATACTTTGTGGCAAGTTTGGTTGAAATTGGCCCATTGGTTCTTAAGAAGAAGATGAAAATGTAAAAAGTTTACAATGACAACAATGACAATGACGCAAACGAGAACAACGACAGAGGAAGCACAAATTTTGTTCAGAAAAGCTCACTTGAGCCTTCGGCTCAGGTGAGCTTAAAATATATAGGAAAAATCTTAAAAATTAATCTTCTCCTTAGGAACCACTTGGCCAGAAAAGCTGAAACCTATATGCAGAAGCAACCTGGGGTAGTGCATGTAGATTCTATGGTATCTATGTATAAAAATTATCATGCAAGCCAATCTGACAGTTATTCCTTATATATGCATGCTCTTGATTCAAAAATTCACATGCTACATGCCCCATTTCTGTCTCCATTTGTCCCGCCCTGAATATATTGTTACATAATTTTTTTTTAATCGGGCCTATCAATGAACCAGTAGATTTATGTAGAAATAAAGTGTTTTTACTATTTGAAGTTTTATACAGGAAAAGAATTTTAAAATGTTAATATTACTGCATAAAATTATACTGAATAATAATAATTCATCTTAACCAAACTGTAGATCACTAAATTTTCATGACACCTATTTTTGTGACATAGTCATTGACTCTTTAATAGTGAGACAAAATTCTCACAAATTGACATTATTGATCTATATAATCTTATGGAGTACTATTATATGCAATAATGAAATTTTTGTGAGCATAATGTCTTGTGTAATTAGGCGAAAATAAAGTTCTCACAAATAAAAAGTGTTTTATAGTACTATCATGTCTGGATGTTTAGTTGGCACATACTCACAGATGTAAACCAATAGTAGAGGATGTCCAAACCAAAATAGGAAATATATAATCACTTTGCTAAAACTAAAAAAGATTCAACCAGCTCACCTTCAATTTTCAAATAGTAACTTGTGCAATTTGTCGAAGAGGGATCAAGACATTTTGCTCTTCCACCACTGATGCATAAAGTATAGACTCCATCCTTAGTAACAGTGATAGAGGATCCTTGGGCACCCGTCTACAAAATAAACAGTTATATCTCAACATTTACTAGGACTAATTGTAATGGGAACCATTACAGATGTTCCCCAAATGCTGCCCAAGTCCCTTTTGGTGCCTTTTTCCCTGTCAGCTTTAGTGGAAAAGCAAACTTAATGGGCTATAGACTTGAAAACAATTTTTCCCTAAAGTATATCATGTATATTGCAAATTTAGCACTGCACATACACATGTGCATGCATGTGCAGAAAGACAATATATTTTTCTACACTAGTTATGTATTTTAATATACATGTACTACATTAAAATATCAAAGCTTAGTAGTCAAAAAGTATTTTTAACTAGAAATATGTCCATAGGACATGAATGCCCCGCCGAGGATATATTAGTAAAGCAACATAAAAATTTGTATGTGTATAAAATTTGATCAGTTTGGTTCAGGTAGGGCTTATAGTTACTAGGGAATAAAAATGTAGTTCAGATCCAGCATTAGAAGCAAGTCTGGTAGTGTCCATCCCTAGATGCATCAGCCATGCAAGTTTGGTTCAGCCTGGGCTTATAGTTACTAGGGAATGAAAATATAGGTCAGATCCAGCATCCGAAGCAAGTCTGGTAGTGTCCATCCCTAGATGCATCATCCATGCAAGTTTGGTTCAGGTAGGACTTATAGTAACTTGGGAATGAAAATATAGGTCAGATCCAGCATCCGAAGCAAGTATGGTAGTGTCCATCCCTAGATGCATCATACATGCAAGTTTGGTTCAGGTAGGGCTTATAGTTACTAGGGAATAAAAATGTAGGTCAGATCCAGCATCCGAAGCAAGTATGGTAGTGTCCATTTCCTAGATGCATCATCCATGCAAGTTTGGTTCAGGCAGGGCTTATAGTTATTAGGGAATGAAAATAAAGGTCAGATCCAGCATCCGAAGCAAGTCTGGTAGTGTCCATCTCTAGATGCATCATCCATGCAAGTTTGGTCCAAGTAGGGCTTATAGTTACTTGGGAATGAAAATGTAGGTCAGATTCAGCATCCGAAGCAATTCTGGTAGTGTCCATCTCTATATGCATCATCCATGCAAGTTTGGTTTGGGTAGGGCTTATAGAGGTCAGATTCAGCATCCGAAATAAGTCTGGTAGTGTTCATCCCTAGATGCATCGTCCGTGAAAGTTTGGTTTGGGTAGGGCTTATAATTCCTTTGAAATGGACCTGCTCCAAAAACTTCAACCTGGTCACTTATCTGGAAAATGTAGGTCAGATCCAGCATCCTAAGCAAGTCTGGTAGTGTTCATCCCTAGATGCACCATCTGTGCAAGTTTGTATCAATCAACATGTGAAGTTTGATAACACCAACTTGAATGGTATGTTTAAAACTGAGCTAAACACTAATTTAAGAAAAGTGAAGCCAAGGTCAAAGGAAAGGTCAAGGTAAAAAAATGTTGATGCATTTGCATAGCTCTCATCAATATCTATCAGCATATGAAGTTTGATGAAAATATCTTGGATAGTTTCTTTGAAACTTAGCTTTGAACAGAGCTAAACGCAAAGTGTGACGGAAGACGGAAGGATGGAAGACGGACATGACAAACACTATATGCCCCGGCCATATTCATGGCGGGGCATAAAAATGCTTAATCAAGTGTTTATAATTTTACTTGTTGCATGTGTATGCACGTGCATGCATGTGCATGATGCCCATACCATCCATTATGTCTATCTCTGTTCTAAATTTCATCCTGTTTTGTTAAAAACCAAGAGATATAGTCATTTAAAGTTTCAGTCAATCAGACTGCAGCACAAGTGTATGCATGTGGTTTCATGAAAATGTTTATATACCATATTGAAGGACATCCTTACTATGTTTTAAAGTTCAAAGTATAAGAAACAAGAAAGATATCGAGATTTTTGTTTTAGCCAATCATAGCAAAGTGCATGTGCATGGTCATTTTATCTACATTGTTATTATATCCTTTTAAAGCCAAGGCTTGAAATTAAGGGGAAATACTCGCTAAATGCGAAATTAAAATCAGAATTTGCAAGTTAAAAGCGACCTTGGGTTGCCACCATTTGCAAGTAAAAAAAATGAAAAGCACTCTAGCTATTTTAAATTATTCAATGTTTGCTATTTAAGTACAGCTCCGTGTAAAAATCATGCAAAATAGGCAAAAGGTGATATATGAAGGTTCTCAGAATTTGATGATTTTCCACACATAGATTTCCCTTGCACTATGAACCATGTATGTAAAATAAAAAATGTTTTGGTTCATGGTTACTATGGAAACGTGGGTAAAGAAATTTCCTTAGCAACCAGCCAATTTTCAGCTTGGATGGACGAAAAAAATCCTTATCTTTGGGGTACTAATTAAATGTAATTAATAAAGAAATTTCTTTTTTATTGCTTTTATTCTCAAGATAAACATCTTTAGTGCTTTCACAATAAAAAACATAGAAATAAGATGAAAGATATTTGTATGATAGATATGGGTATATATACATGTTTTTCCTTTTTTGCTGACTCAGCAATTTCCTTGATTTTGGAATTTTTCGGTGTCAAATTACTCAAATGATGGACCTGATACAGACATTGTGTTTATAAAATGTAAAAGCAGAGGACTTGTTCTTTTAGAATTTGAATTCAGAAGCGTATAATTTTTGTAACTTCTTATCCGTTGCCTAGCAACAAAAATGGATGTTTTTATGAACAAGAGGCCCATGGGCCTTATAGGTCACCTGAGCATTATTCAACAACTTTCCAGTGATTGAATTTGTTTTAAGCCACATGCTATAGCATTTACAAATTTGGTAATCATAACTAACACTTAGCAGTTTTTAGATTTAATTCATGCAAATAAGGGAACAAAAAATGCATTTCAACAAATCAGTAATATTCAGCAATAATCAGTAGTGCCGCTACCAACAGGAATCATAGAACTCTTAGGCTTTTATCCACACATTGCACAATTTTTGGAAAGGATTCCTCATCTTTTCAAAAAAAATTGATTAATACCAAGGAGACATTTCAAACAATTCAATTTTCAGTATATAAGCATCTTATTCAATTCTTGAAATTTACAATTCTTGAAGATTAGGTCCCTTGCTCATAACTATATAGGTAGTTCATTTGCTTAAAACCTAGGAACAAAGAACAAAATATAGATTTAATGTTTTATCACTATACATGTATAATCAATACAGTTTTTGAATCCCTGACCCTGGGGCCATAAAATTCACAATTTTGGTAAGGCACTCTTTTTTTAACTATGTACTTAGAAAAGTTTATTTAATACCCAGAAGCAGAGAAATGGATTTTCAAAGAAATAATGTATTTTCACTATATAATCAAAGAGCCCCGCCCTAACAAGAACCCCTGACCCTGGGGCCATAAAATTCACTATTTTGGTAGAGGCACTCTTGCTCATCATGGGGGGGGGGGTTAGTTTATTTAATACCCAGGAGCAGAGAAGAAGATTTTTAAAGAAATAATGCATTTTCACTATATACTTATTTACTCCGCCCTAGCACAAGTACCCCTGACCCCTTTCCATGAATTTCACAATTTTGGTAAAGGACTCAATGCTGATTACAATCATGCATACAGTTTGACTGCTTGATGTCCAGGTGCTAAAGAAGAAGATTTTTAAATATTGCATTAATTTTAAGGCACTTGCCCAAGGGCACAGGGGGGCAGGGATCATGAAATTACATCACCCATAGATGCTTTGTGCCAAATTTGGTTATGCAGAGAAGAAGCTGAAAATGTTCAAAAGTTTACGACCGATTGCCGACGAACGACGTACGACGGACTGCCGGACCATTAACTTATAGCAATAGGTCATTTATAAATATATATCAAAAAAAATATGTAAAATTGGAAAACATACACCACATAACTTTTTATTTTTAAATTCTGAAAACAAATTTTACAAGAAATTAAATTTTTAGACTTTTCTGCAAATAAGGGATAATTTTACAATTTCATATCTCCATGGTAACAGCAATTTCTCCTTAGCAACACATCATAGAATGATAATTTTAGCACATTCACATTCAAAACTTCATCAGTTTTGGTTTACAGAATCTAGTTCACGGAACATTGGCATTTAAATGATTGCCGGTACATGTACAAAATATATACACATGTAAATGTATATATTATGCAATCAAGTTTTAAAAACCCTAACCAAAAAGATTGCCATGGAAACAGGTGTACATATTCATGCGTTTCAAGAATTTTGACTGACTTTAAATTGTTTAACCTGTGTTGAGTTCTTCACAATATGGCTAAGATTAAAAAATATGTCAGTCATCTTGTACTTGACACGTACAATTGTAAAAGTTCTTTCAATCCTATTGTTTTAAGATTTAATCAGGTATATATAAAAATGCAATTAGCCTCTTTTAATTTTTTTTTACTTGTTTTACCCATAGCAACAAAAGCCAAAATACTCAGTACTCTACGAAAATTTGAGAATCATACTTTGTGAACATTTCAGTAATATTGGTACACAGAATCAAGATTAGTAAACATTCATGATTGACATGTTAAATATTTGCTGGTAGATAATATGCATCAAATTATAAATTAAATCAAAACTTAGAATGTTACCATGGTAATGGGTATAAACATTTTTGTTTATATCATTTGTTAATCGGCAATTAATAAAAGAAATAAGGTATCATTTTTAAACATCGGCATATTTATTAAAAAAATTTGTGACTTATTCATACTTTACATTTGCCTGATTTTGACGTTAAGCGTGTGAAATGCATTATTTTTCAAACTCAACAGCAAGTATGTAATCCACTGAACACGCGTCGACCCTTTATGATGTCACTGAGAAATTACGTCTTACGATTATCCATACGCACATGTATGACCTCTTGACCCCGAACCTGTATTTATACAGTTATAGATATGCATTCCTTTTAGTAGTGTTATATAAAGGAAACATTTGCAAATGTAAATATTAAAGAAATGAATTCAAAAGTTTTATTTATAACCGAAGAACTTAAATGTGGTT